GTTTTGGAAGGAGGGCAGGCAGATGGGAGCATGGTCTCTGGACCAGTGTCAGCCTTTTCTGGTGAGGAGGCAGTGAGTGATTTGTTTCCAGGTCAGTGCTACGTGCTGATATAACACTTGAGCTGACTAAGAGGTAGGCAAGGTGCACGGGGTGAGCACAGCACGCATTGCCGGGCCGGGAGAAACAGCATTTCCCCTGGCACGGGCAAGTTGAGACCACTGTCAGAGCCACACCTTTGTTCACGCTCCTGTTTCAGTGCACTAAGCTGGGGAGGTGCCAAGGAAACTCCTTGATTAATCACTTTATGGACTGTTTAGACACAAACAAACAAAAAAACGTTCAGCTTCCATGAAGGTGAAAAAGAGAGACATAAACTGATTTTTGCCAAGATATATCAGAAGATATCAACCCAAAATAAAACTGTTATCTTGAATTTCTACACCGATTTCTTTCTCCTCCTCAATCCTTTACTTTTTTTCTCCTGCTGTAGCTGCAGGGAATGCCCAGTTTCCCTGGTTTGGACCCTGCAGCATCGCAGGTTGCTTCTGATTCTTCACAGAAGCAGCAGGGCAACGAGGCGAGGCTTGTTGTATGTGGGGAAGCAGGACACAGGCTACAGGCAAGGCTGGTGAACCCTTTGGTGTTGGAGCGGTCTTGCTAATGTAAATGTGAAGCCAAAGCCAGACTTTGCACCCTTTTGTTCCAGGATGTGCGACAGAGGATACAGCCTAGGCTAATCCCTGCTGACCCCGAGAGAGAGGAAACGGACTCCTAACAGCAAGGGGTAATCTGTCCCAGTTCTGGAAATCTCGCAGGAGCTTTGCTTTTCTGGCAAGCCATGAGCCCTCTCCAGCTCAACATCTTGCAGTCAGTAACTTTTTTCTCAAGTGCTTTTTGCATCAGCAGCTTCAGGGTTCAAAATTCTTCCTGGTCCTGCACAGGGTTTGTCCCTGCCAGGGATCTTCCAACTGTCATGGGGCTTTCAGATTAGCGTTGGGCACTGCTACAAGTATAGCTGGATTAGGAAATTTTGGGAGGTGACTCAGCCCACAGCTTGGATGAGCTCAGTCCCTCCTGACCTCTGCCTCTTGCCCTGAACGTCCTGCCTAGCTAAAAGCTTCCTCATCCAGGATGATGCATTCAGAGTAGCCAGACACTGCTGTCTAAGGGGAATGAATTTGTGTTACACATGGCTGAATGAAAAAACATTCAGGACATGGCTTTTCCATTTTTCTCTGTCGCAGGAGATGATATTTCTGGACATCCAGTGGTCTGCGTGGGAAGCAACACACCTACAGCTCACAGCTAGTTAAATCCCACAAGGAGCAGCAGTACCGGCTCATCTGCTGCACACTTACTGTATTTGTCAAGGTATGTGTTACTGCTTGAAGTCTGACAAACTGCACATCTGAATCAAAACAGTGAGGTGATTCATTGTCCCACGGAAATTAATTCCTCAAAGTCTTTCTCTTGAAATGACTTGCACATCAGGAACTGTATGTGGGTTTGTTACTGTAAATTGGCAGATGAAGAACTCTCTAAGACTCAATTTGGAGTTTTAGAAAGCAGGCATTCTTTATTACGGCCGGGTGCAAGGTGGAATTCCACAAATCAAGCACACGTATGGCTAGATCACCATTACATTTATACACAAAAATTATAAGGTAGTACACTCCCAGTTACAATGATTGGTTAGTGATTTACATATAATTATAATATCGGTTATGTCATTCTCTTCTGTTACTACGCTTGCGCGGAGGGAAGGGTCTTCACCTGGGCAAGGGTCGTCTTGACCTGTGGGTGTGTTTTTTAGTATTATAATGAAGGCAGTTCACTTCAGGACACCTTAAAAGTAAGTTTTGTTGCCAAGTTGGCCAGCTAGAGATCTACCTTGCCAGGTTGTCAAATAACTCATCCCATAAACAATAGAACCTAGGGGCTCTGGTTATGGTCTAGAGAGTCCAGAGAATAGAGAATAGGGACTTCAAGCAACACAGCCTCAAATAATAAGTAACACAGCAACCTCTACATAACGCTACCATAGAGGCTAACTTATTGGAATCAAAATGTTCTTAGAGTTGATTATTTCACAACCTAAAGATTCAGTAAAACTTAAGATAATCTTCAACAGGTTAGGAACACCTCTGGATTCCCAGAACAGTGCAGCCCTGAGGTCACAGTTTTGTCATTGCAGAAGACCTGTGAAAGAAATGTTTTGGTCTGGCGTTAGCTCAACGCTAAAATATGCCACCTTGGGGAGTCAAGATAACCTCTTGGCATCTGTCAGCCTGTTCCCTGCTGTGTCCTGACTAGGCTGCTGGGTCAGCTTCTGGTTCATTTTAATGCCATAGGAGGAAAATCCTACTTTGGATATTGCCCTGCATTGTCAGTCATTTTGTGAATACACATGGATTCCTTTGTTTCATCTGGCTACCTGAAGTGGTGCTTCAAACTGGCCTACCCTGGATGGCCAGTTTGCTCAAGGCCAAACTTGGCTTTGTCCAAAGCTGGGATGAAGAACTGAGAGACAAACGAGCAGCATCCCTCTGCTAGGAGCTGTTTCTGACCCGGTGACAGAGTCGTTGACACATGCCAAAGAGCATGAGGGCATTTGGCCTGGTAAAACAACAGAGCTAAAACTCAGAGCATCACGCAAGGATGCACATGATCTGTGTCCCATCCTGGTGCAGGGCAGGGCCAAGAAACAGCTTCTGCATTTCCACAGCAGGATTTCTCAATTACTGTTTATGCCATCTGGGTCGCTCCTTTTCAGATCACCTGGATTTCTTTTACCTTACAAGCCCCATTGGTGAGGTCTGGGTACCTCTCACTCTGACACAAAGCCCACCCAGGACTGTGTAAACAGGTTTGCAATTATTTTTTTTTTTTTTTACTCCTTGCTCCTTTTGAAAGTCACCACCAGGGACAGTCTGAGGGTTTGAAAGACGGGGAGAATGGCAAGTACCTGCTAGTGATGGAGTAAGCAGGTGGAGACTTGGCTTCTCTTTACTTTTCTACTATAAACACTATTTACTTCTTGGTGCTGCAAGATTGGGTAAGAAGTTAAAACAAATGGATTTAGAAACTATCTCAATAATGCAGAGATGCAATTAAGAATACATCATAGCCTGTGTGGCCTGATGGTGGTTTTGGTTTGCAATTTGAGTAATACAGTTGTCCAGCTGTGTTTGGAAAGCAGTGCAATAATGTGTCACATTTCTATCTCCCTGCCCATGCTGCTGACTGAGGGGAAGAGGGCTTGAACCCAAGGCTTGAAGCAGTGGGAATGTTGTTGTTTCTGCAAGGCTGGCTCTATTTTTTTGCCCTTGTCCTGGAGTTGGGCATCAAAGTTTTCCTTAATCTCAGGAGCTTCTTTTGCGTGGCTCACCGGTGGGTTTCAAATGCCACATCCCTCTTGCACCCGATAAACAGCGCAGAGCAGCTTCTGGAATTGACTCTTCTCATTGCAGTTAATTCTCAGGGGTTCCTTGCACTAAAGGGTAGATGGAAAATTATTTCCAGTGTATTTGTTCTCTTGACTAGGCATGGAATATATTTATTCCTCTCTTCTTGAGTTTTCAGTTTTTCTTTGCTCTTTTTCCTTTGCAGTTCAGCAGTGGGATCTGCAGTGCTCACGCAAGGTGCGCTCAAGGAGCTTAGTGGCTTGGCTTCTGGGTGGAGCTGGGTGGTGACATACACTGTTCCTGTGTGGAATTGCGGCTAGATTAACACTGTGCCGATGGTGCTCGGACAACAAGAGTTGGGGGTTTAGTGGAGACCACAGCCCTGTTAGCACCAGCATGCCCAGCGCGGCTGCTACGCGATCATCAGGGTTGCTTTGCAGCCCCCTTGCATAGATCAGGGCTGCATCCAGCCACAAAACTCACCCAGCACTGCCTCAATACACAGCAAGAGGGAGAGAAGCATCTCCTAAGTGGTTTTGGAAGCCTTTTTACCTGAAGACATTAGGTAGATTTCCATGTATCTCAGAGAAATATGTCCAAGTTCTTATTGTTTGTGTTGGACAGCTGTTTCTGCTCTTGCCCAGCTTTCAGTGCTGCTTTTCCCCATAGCAGTTTCCCAATGTCTCACCTAGCTGCAAGGGTAAGAAGGCTTTGTATTTCTGGATGGGTAATCAATAGATCACTCTGTTTGTCAGAATTTTTTTCCCCCCTTTTACTTCTTTTTTTAC